TTTCTGAAATTGTTCTTGCTGCCACTGAAATGTTTTAAATATGCTACAGTATTGCAATACACAACAGCAATGTCAGTTTAACTTCTACATTATTTGGAAAAGCCAGATTCTGCCCTAAGTCACACAGGAGGTATTTAAGCAGAGGTCCAAACCACCTAAGATGGCTCTTTTCAATGTGAAGGTGTGGGATTGCTCCCTCTGAGTTGGTGGAGAGCTGCTGCCACAAGAAGTTAAAGTATATCATGATCTTGTTCAGATCTGAAGTCTCAGATGGAGCAGGCATTGTGCTGGATAGTCATAAAGAAAACAGGATTACCAGTTGATGTCTGATAGTTTCTTGAGTCACTGCATCTCAACGACTGGACCTTGACTTCTACTGCTGTGTGTGTGACAGAAGATATTCAGTGGGTGCTACAGGCATCAAGCAAAAGACATCAAATGTTGCAACACTGCACAACACAGACACTATTTGTTTGATTAGAAGAAGGAAGTTCCACTGCCAGACATTCTGAAGTACAACCAAAAGGAATGGTCAAAAGAGGAAAAGGTGGCAAAAACAAGAACCAAAGGACAGAAGACATCACGCACTTTGACATGATGGAGTTGAACTTAATCATTTGTTCTCACTCGACTCAACAGAATGAATAATACTCTGTTGTCAGCGACTGCGACTGTCTTGTTCTTTTGACTCTTACAAGGTACGAAAGCCTTCAACAAGAGATTATCCAAATCTTTACACTGCTGTCTCCATTTCTAAACATTGAGATTAAAAAGACACAGAAACAAGGAGTTGCTATAGAAAGACCTGTTTTATTGATCTTTGCTACTTATCAAGAATACAGTTCTGGAGAAAATGTAAAAACTAAGGAGTTTATACATAAATACTGTCAAATTATACATTTTCCTTGTAAAAATATGTTTTTCATTACTCCACTGGTGGATTTGTGGACATCAGTGTAGAAACAGAGAAGCAAGAGGGAGAGTGGGAGCAGAGGGGGAAGGGTATTTGCCCCCTGTGGGGCTGCTGATGGATGCAGGGCTCCTGGGGTTAAGGGGAGGGCAGCCAGGCCCTAAGCCAAGGTACAGAATGGCAGCTACCTACTGCTTGTCATACACACAGACACATACGCCCTTATAAGTTTCAGTGCAGTTTTTAGTCAAGCACCAGCACTCTTACTGACATTGTCTCACATTCACTGTCCCGATTTATGTCTAACATGTAGGTCACATGTTTAATTTGTATCCTCACACACTTCATCACACATATGCACACCCACAGAGCAGAGGATGCTAATGGGAGGGAGGGAAGGAAACAGAAAAACAAACCATCTGACAACATGAAGCCTGTCAGTGGAGCAGATAACATGAAATGACTCCAGCATGTGATGTATTCAAAGCTCCCCACCAACACTATTACTGTCAAATAGTGCCATCAAGGTTTTGCTTACACCTAATCATCACCACTGGAGTGCCTACTGGTGGCTCAGGCCTGTATGGCAGTCTTACATTGAAACCACCCTCTATGATGGTGGGGAAGCTGTGAATTGTTGGCATATGGCCAGGCTCCAATTGGACTTGACACAATGTATCATAGTGAACATTAACATTAGTTACACCTCATTCTGAACCCTTCCAAGTCAAACTAGTCATCATTCTGCTGAATGGCCTTTTTTTACACAACAAATGGCCAACAAAATGCAACTTGAAATGTTGAGTACTAATCAGACTGTGCTGAGTTTCTTGGTCATTGCTGTGACCTTTACCAAACAGTCTAATTAATGGTCAAATCAGCCGATTCCGTCTAGCTGATGGTGGTGGCTTTCTGCTGTTGTTCAGGTTAAAGGGTGCAGTTAGCTGACAATCAATCAGGCACATCTTTAGTGTCAAAAACAAATAGAACTAGTTCTTGCCACCGACCAGGCTGTGAGGTGTGAATGTCCCACACCGCTGTCTGTCTCATCTTAATGAATCGCTGTTTCACTCTACATCAGCAGCTTTGCTTTCTAGAACTGTATGAAGCCAGTGACTTCGGACTATCCCATGAATAAATCTTTAAAAGCCTGTTTGTCTCTACAGTTAAGCTAAGCCTTGAAAGCAAGAAGAGGCCACTCTCCTTTCTCAAATGAAAGGAGGGGTGTTTTAAAAACGCTAATCGCCTGTAATCCTTTTAATATGTCTCACACTTTGCTTTGTCAATACACAAAGCTGAGCAGATCCAGCTTCACTGAGCAGATCCCAAAACTGGAAGAGCAGAGTATTAGACCAGAGACCAGAGACCAGAGGACGGATGTGCAGCAAGGTCATAAAATTGCTGCCTATCCTTTGGGACAATCAGTGGCTGCAGCTAAAACTGTGTCTTCATAATGAGAGGTGCTCATTGTGTACTGTGGTGTCTCTTACTGAGTTGTGGTGGCAGTGCGCACAGGCTCCTCCTTGTCCCTTTCTCTCAATACCATGTGTGGAGCGCTCCTCAGGTAAAGGTTTTTTTTTTTTTTTTTTAAATCAAGAGGGGAGGAGAGAGTGGGGCTGGGGGTGTCCGCTTTTGTTCTGTAAAAAGGGGGCTTGTTCTTAGCAAATCAGCCTGCCATTTTAACACGGGGTGTGTGAGCGCTGAGCGAGAGGTTTGACAGAGGAGCGGTGTGGGATGGGAGCGGAGAGCAGTCCTGCCACAGCCGAGCGGAGCCGCATCGACACACTGTGAGAACACTGAGAAGCCGGTCAGTCCGAGTCTCAACTGCAGCAGGCTCACACACACCTGAAGGCCGCAGGACCACAAGGATTACAACCCAGGAGGAATAATCTGAGAGCCCGGACAAGTTTGTTTGTTAAAAATAGATTAAAGAAAGAAAGAAAGAAGAAGAAGAAAACCCTGCAGCGCGTTTTCCAAAAATTTAGACACAGGTTCGTTTCTGCAAGTGCACTTACATTTTGTGTCGCCATCTGACAGAAGCAACAGAAGCTGATAGTTTTACTTTCATGATAGCCTTAACTATCAATAATTGCTGCATTTTCGGTCAAACAGGGCTTTGATTGCGACGGACACTGATTTGATGAAGAATGTGTTTGCTGTGCGTGTACGAACCTCTCTGTCAGCACCTCTGACCTTTTTGTGGATTCCGGAGAAATCTTTGGACTTGGTGGCTTGATTTATAGACCACTGAAATCAGCTGGAATTTTGCAGCTCTGAGTGGATCATAATCAGAAATTACCGGAAGAGCTTATCACCTTCATCCAACATGCGATCCATCCCATCTAACCTCAGCTATTTGTAAGTGCTTTCCCCTTCGCTTCCACATTTTACGCACCGTTAATGCTTGTCTACACAGGTCCGAATAAAACACCTTAATGCATGTTACTCTTGATCTTTGCAGGTTTCTCCACCTATTTGCGTTTTGCTACTATGCTCAGGTATGTCACTGCTTTTATTTCTTTGCAAATAAATCTATTATATTAATATTTTTTTATTGTGGCCGTTTAAATGAGGATTAGCTGCAACAGTCTTTAAAACATATGGCAGTTGAAGCGTGCGATGCACAGCGCAATAACAGCGAGGGGAGGAAAGGTGAGGGATCATCATAACATTATGTGATACAACAGTATCGGATGGCTCCTACCGTGCGCCGTGCAGCGGGGCGCGCGGCCTGCTGGCAGGTTGCTGATGAACATACCGGCCCTGGCACAGGACGGCCGGGCACAGACGGATCATCGGGGCAGGGGAAATGCTTGCGAGTCTTGTGAAAAATGTCGTGGGGTTTAGAATAACCGAGGTCCAACGTTTTCGTTTCATTCCATCACAGCGGCGTGTGGCGGACCGAGAGAGCGAAGTAAAAGACAAATACAAATTCAGACTTTTAAAAAAAAGTCAGCGTAGACGTTTTATTTGTTTACACCGTGAAGAATCAGAAGTCGAACATTTGTCTCGTTCATACTTTTTTCCCTGTGCACTGTGGCGCACATACTCCTGTACGCACAACCCGTAATCACACCGTGCGTCTTTTTGGAAGCTGTTAATTTGATTTGGCAACAGCTCTCCTGGAACTTGTTACGCTCGTCACAAGGGGAAAAAACAACAACAAGCTGTTCTTGCTGTAGAATATATTTTCTCTCCGTTACAAAGCGGTTTGCCGAAGCGCACAATTGACTTCACTCTCAGTATAAGACCCTTCCTCCCCTTTGCGCAGTTGTCCGTTAAAATTATATAAACACAAAAAATAAGTAAATTTATGAACACGTTCTGATGATTGTAATACCATCTAATTTCTGACAGGTAACCAATCAGTCCCCGCCTAATTTCACGCAGCATGTAAGCGAGCAGAGCAAAGTGACGGACCGAGTGAGCCGCAGGTTGATCCGGACCTACCAGCTGTACAGCCGGACCAGCGGCAAGCATGTGCAGGTCCTGCCCAACAAAAAGATCAACGCCATGGCCGAGGATGGAGACGTGCACGGTAAGAAGTCAGCAATACAGACACAAACTGCCGTAATAACAACTCACAACACGCCCAGGTTTCGCACCAAATCGCCGATATATTCGGGAAGAATGTCTTAATTTGATTTTTTTTTATTCAGTTTGCAGATTTTATTTTTAGACATTTCCCCCAAATTCGTTCAGCAAATGGACATTTCTAGTCGGTCGGGTTAAACTCACATTTACATTTCACTGTGCACTTGTAAAAACCCAGCCTCGCAATAGTCTACATCTGCAAATCCAATTCGAAATTCAAATATTTATTCAAATGATTTTCACTGTTTAGATCAACTTTTAATTCATTTTTTTTATTTTATTTTTTGTTTTGTGAAATTGTACCAAGCATCTTCATAACATTATTTAAAGCTAATATTCTAACCTTGTTTAAAATAATGCAGTAGGGTCTGCAATATATCTGAGATATGCAAATTAGGCCCAAAATGGACCTACCTCAAACATCTAATATTTAATGAATAAGTTTTTGTTTGTTTCCAACAAAGTGTAAATTGTCAATTACAGTGAGTGTGTGATCGAATGCATGTCTCATACGGATCCATACATTCACAGAATTTGTTGAATTAAATTCCAGTCAGTCAGTCAGCCAAAGATCTGCATATTTTTGTCTTGTTTCACAATTGTAAAACTTCTAAACCAAAATGAAACCTCATTCTCATCTATGTTATTTGCTGAAGGCTATGCCTCGTAACCAAGCATTTGACTGGTGTAGGTGGTCATTCTTTGCACCATTTGTGGATCCCAGTCTGTGCTTTTGGAAGGGAAGAGGCTTAGATCTCAGAGAAACTGTCAGGTGGGTTGTAGATGGTGCCAGAGGTGATCCTCCAGAGATCCTGCAGGTCTGGAGGATCCATTAAAAATCATCCTACTTCTGCCTCTCGAACATTTCCTGCATTCTCCTGCCCACCCAATCCCCTACCCCCACCTTCAAACCCAATCCATCCAGCCTCAGAACCAAATGGGCCTCATTGAGCGTTGCAGTAACTGGCCGGGAATCTTTGGTGTATTTAAAGTATTGAATTCTACAAAGAACATCTATTCATCATGAATAAGTCAGTGGATAATAGTGTGCTTACTGCTGCTGTCTGTACAGAGGCCTTAGATGTAGTTGCTGTAGAATGTATCATCATGTGTGCATTTATCTGTGGCTCCTCAAAAGGAGTGTGCAAGCACTTCAGTTCACCTGAAATATTTTAGTATAAAATGTAAGAAAAAGTGAGAGCAAAAATGTGTGCGTGTGTGTGTGTGTGTGTGTGTGTGTGTGTGTGTGTGTGTGTGTGTGTGTGTGCGTGTTTCCCACATTTTTCGGACCACAACTATAAATCTCAGACATGTCGTGGTTTGTCGCTGGGTGACTGGAGAGGGCCCTGACCATCCTCAGTGACCCCAGTAACCTTTGGCCAATGCCATGTAACTATTTTTATGACACAATGTGAATTAAAATAGATATTTATAGAAGGTCTTTCAGAAAGTTAGAACACAACAGAAATCATGGACACTGTTTTTCATTTCTTTTGTGTTGAAAAGCAACAGAAAAAAAAAGTTCCATAAACTCATGCTCTGTGCACTGTCCACATTTTCTGTGTCTTTCAGTACTTCTCAGGATATAGAGATAAATGTGGAGCTTTATATGTGAGGTCAATGCAGATTTATTTGAAGGAATTCTTAATGGGCCTGCCAGGATCGCCCCTTTAGCTTTTAAAGAATCGAGAGACACGTGGTTTTATCATTTTGCAAGAATTTCAGCTTGCATAAATCCCAGGGAATGGTCCCATAGGTTTTTCTCTGTGTGTGTGTGTGTGTGTGTGTGTGTGTTTCCGTGTTTGCGCGCGTGTGTGTGTGTGTGTACATGAGAGGAGAGAGAGCTGGAGCATGTATGCTTGGAAACACACTCAAGCATATCAGTGTGTGCTGTTGATGCTTTTTGGTCCACACACATCCACGCACTGTTAAGTCATTCACATTGGTTTTAATGTTTCAAGAATTTTTCGGACAGGCAAGTAAAAAGACATGTTTAACTGACATCATGGAAACCTTCTGTGCTGTAGTTGCTAACAGAATTCTTTTTGTTTGATTTGTTTAGCTAAACTTATTGTGGAAACTGACACATTTGGGAGCCGAGTGCGCATCAAAGGAGCTGAGACTGGTTTCTACATCTGCATGAACAAGAGGGGGAAACTCATCGGCAAGGTGAGGACAAAAGCTGATCTCAACCAGCTGAAGCAGAGCCAAAAGGCTGACTAGCTTGTTGTAGCTAAGGTCAAAATGTCAACGGTTGTAGCAGCACAGCTCAAGGACTTAGAGGAGGATTTAGTGTTTGTCTCATAGACTTGTGGGGAGTAATGAAACGCTGCAGGGCAAACTGTTCACAGCCCAAAGTGAAATTGTTGAAACAAGAGAAATCAAAATCATTCATCAGTCCTTGGTAAGGCTTTCATCTGAAAATCTTTGTAGACAGTCTACGCCTCTCCTTGTGGCCATATGATTCAAAAGTGGTTGATGAAAAGAGACTGGGTACAGATATAACGGCATAGCAGGTGAATACCTACATGATTTATCACCTCAAATAGTCTAAAAAAAAAGTCATGAAATTTGTATGCTTGATACTTTTTAAATGATAAAGTTGATAAAATTCTATATATTTTAATGTCAGCAAATCTCCTTCAAAGACCAAAATCAACAACATATTGATTCTACTCGCAAGTGTGGCCAAACCGTCATTTAGCTGATTCCTTTTATGTTTTTCTTTTTTTTAAAAAATGAAGTTTCTTACAAGCTGTTTTTATCTTCACTTAGAACCAATATTGTTAAAGGTGAGTTCCATGGACAGAGTAGAGAAGTCAGAAAGCATTTGGAGACAGACTCATGACGCATGGTGAGCTACGTTATACAAGATGTTTATTCTGTACAGAGTGCTTTGAAGTTTATATTTGGTCCATGACAGCTATAGTTTATACGTGACAGTCCCTATATCTAAGGCTTCAGGTTAGGGTGCAGTTATGTGTCTGAAATGTGTACTAGAGGCTGAGGCTATCTCAGTGCCCCACTCTCACTGTGATGTCTAATAAACAGACACACACACACACACACACACACACACACACACACTGTCACTCCCCTCCACCACCCAGCACCCTGCCTAGAGGACCATCTGCCCCAAGCCACTGGTCCAGTCACAGCGTACCTCAGCCCCAGTGTGTGTGTGTGTGTGTGTGTGTGCGCGCATGTTTAGAAAGGGAAAAGAATGAACAGACTATCTTTTGGATACATGTGTGCATTAGGACTATTTTTAACACACTGCTTTGTCCAAAAACGTGGGAGCTTGTTACAGTAGGCCAGCACTGTGTGTCCACTTAATGCTGCTTCAGATGACCTTACTGTACATTTTATAGTTGATAGAAACTGTATAATGCTTTATGCCTCTCCCGTGTCATTCCCTATCTGCACTGTTATCGAAAGTCAACAGCTTGATCTAATGGGAGGTAAACTGAACATGGCAGACAACAGTTGAGAAATATTGGATGAATGATTGTTATCAAGCAGGCCTTGGGGGTAGAATTAACCATAGAGGCAATAGGAGCTTTAACCTGAAATGAGAGCAACATGGAAGAGCTGTTTAAGACTTTATGGCATAAGGTCTGTCCTGCAGCTCTGTAGGCTGCTGAAAGTTTACTAAAGGAGGAGAAGACTCATTGCTTACTGTCATGCCCCTTCCTCTGATCTGTAATGACTGAAGCATATGCTGCATGTATGAGGGGAGGGGTGTGTGTGTGTGTGTGTGTGTGTGTGTGTGTGTGTGCAGGTGACAGTCTGCACAGGGAAGTCTTTATTCATCTGATATTTCCCATCTGCAAGAAAATTTCACTCAACATTTCTACCAACTGTTTTCATGTGTGTGTGTGTTTCTGCAGAAAAATGGACAAGGGCGGGATTGTATCTTCACTGAAATTGTTCTGGAGAACAACTACACAGCCTTGAGAAATGCCCGCTACGAAGGCTGGTACATGGCCTTTACCCGCCGTGGTCGACCGCGGAAAGGCTCACGGACACGCCAGCACCAGCGTGAGGTCCATTTCATGAAGAGGCTGCCTAAGGGGCAGCAGCTCACCCACACAAGCCACCACCGACCTTTTGACTTCATCGACTATCCTTTCAGTCAAAGGACTAAACGTACTCGATACTCCTTACAGCGCTGAGGAGAGGGAGGAAAACAGAAAAGACAGAGCAAGAAAGAGGAGAAACTGAGAGACTGACTAAATTACTAGCAGCCAACACAGAGACATGTTTTATATTGAGCATTATTATATCTTAATAAGTAGTTTGTTCTCTATTTTTCTTGAAGTAAAAAAAAAAAAAAACTGTACATAGATTTAAAAAAACCACAAAAAAAAAACAGAAGAAATCTATTTTTGTACTCTAGACTTTTAGTTGTGACTTGTATAAAAAAAAACTAAACAAAAGAAAAACATTTTTTTAGATGCACATGACTCATTGTCTGACTTATCTGGACATCTTAGTGGAGTATGTTGTATTGTTTTTTGTAAGTCATTTTAACCAGTAGAGTCATTTTCTGGACTCTTGCCTGCTGCTCAAGGAGACTTGAAGGGCCCTGATTGACCGCACTGCCAGGGAACGCTATGTTCAGAGCCACAAATTGTCACACACTGCTTTGTAGGTGCAGGACCACGTTGTGGTAACACACTGCAGTGTTTAAGCAATTTGCTAGATGCTGCATTCTGAATGGAATCATTCAGCATTTTTCTCACACAGTTCAAACAAACAGAGCATAAATAGCATCTGATGGACAAGTGTGGCAGCTATATTTCATAATCACAGGTTTCCTGTTCTAACTGTAGCGTCTTGATGTATACAAAATGCATTGAAGTGTAAGGAATCCCTTGACACACCCACTGACCCTCACCTTTTATGTTCTTGGTGCCCTCTGAATGTCAGTTTTTTTATACATATATAAATATATTTTTATTTGACGATGTACAAAATAATTTTAAGGATGGAATATTTATTTAAAATGTGTAATAAATGTACATTAGAATAATGATATTAAACTCTTGTTTGGTACATAATTGCTTGCGACCCATCTGTAAAACCCTGAAAAGTCACACAAAAGCTTGATAACCAGCCCTCTTCTCTATGCTTATGTACTTAGCTGTGTGTAAATACATGGAAGCTTAGTGTTAGTCTCACAGCATCTGTGTCAAACCTGTAAGATGTTCTAAGACCCTAACATCTGCTGCTCTAGTTGTTGGTGGGTTTTTTTTTTTTTAGTATGTCCATTATAATCTAAAATGCTAAATTCAATGGAAAGCGCATTTTATTGTAGTTATTTTTCCACCTTAGTGCTTTCTTGACTGTTCCTTGATGACCAACAACTGTTTAGACATCTCTTAACTGTCTCCAGCTGTAGAACAGGTTGCCAGATGTTTGGTCTCTTTACAGGCATGATGAACCAAGCTTAAAAACTCTGTGTGATGACAATGACACACTAGCCCTTGCACTCTGCTGTTGTTAGACAATAAACAGTTCCAGCCGGTATCTCCCTTTATAACCACATATTGTCAATTTTACATTTCCATGTATGTACAGATTAATTGAACAAAATACCATTAGTAATTAATTTGTTGGCTTCACAGGTGTTGGTAGGGGCATTTTTCAACGTTAAGCAGAGTCAGGTTAGCTATTTCCACCTGCTACCAGCCTATATGCTAAGCAGTGCTAACGACTGTACATGGTAGGTGTCAGTTCTCTTCATAACGCACAGACATGAGATTGACTTATATTTTTTAAATCTTATTCCTAATATGAAACAAATAAGTGATTTAAAAAATGTTGAACTATTACTGTAAAGAAATGATGGCATGACACAAGTAAAGACAAACTACAAGTAGTGCACAGAATACAAACTCATATGACTTTATTATGCAGTCAACACATTTATGAAATCAAAATAAAACATCATTAGTCAGTTATTCTGTGTAAATGAATAGGTATTGGGAAACTGTTTATATCTACAAGCGCAGCCATTTTCTGTACTACTAGCGGGTTTGTGGATGCTCTCCCAAAATACCAAAAAGATGTGTTACACATGTGGTTTATTCCCAAATGCAGACAACATGAAAAAAGCTATGTCATCAGATGTATGTTTCAAAACATCATTTTGAACATTTTTGGCTTCTAAAAGTCACAGCATTTGTGTGCAAGCCAATGTTGAGCTCATAATTAAGTCGACTATGCTCCCCTCAGTTGCTAAATAATCTCTGTTGTGCGCCAGTTGTTTCAGTTTTTTCTTTTTGTCTGCTTGTTTTTTAACAACTGTGCTATCCACCACTGTCCTTTTGTTATTTCTGCAGAAGTGACAGTAGACAGCAGCACTAGCAGCTGATGCAAGAAATCAAGGTGCACACAAATTGTGAGTGGAGAAACAAATCAGAGGGTAAATGCGTACTGGCATATACTCCTTGATTAGCGGTTTTAGATGTGAAACTACTTGCATGAATTTTTTACTTAGACTTCTAATGGGCACGTAAACGCTTTACCACAGTAAATTTAAATGTCGGGAGCAAGGAAGTAGACCCAGGCAACATAAAAATACAATCAGACTGAAGCCCGATGCGACAACTACCCATCCAGTATGTATACACTGCTTTAACTTCACTAGGGTGTAGTGAAGTCTATCCCAGCTGACTCAAAGTGAAGGCAGGGGACACCTGGACAGGTCAGTGACAAACCATATCTCCTAGAAATGAATTACAATCCAGTAGCAAGTATGTTCTGAGGAAAAGATAACTGATTGAACGCATTTTCTATGAATGAGGAAATGTTGATAATAAAGGTTTGCTAAATTACTCATATGTTGATATCAAATATCAGTAAAATGCTTCAAAAAAACACATTTTTCTGTCAACATGTATTGCAACATAATATCCACCTGTAGAGTACAGCATTATTCAGCTTTTTGATGGTTTTCTTTTGACACTCGCAGCATGTTTATTGCCATTAAACCAAAAACACAATTTTCCCCAAACCATGCCCAAATGGTTTTTGTTGAGTCTGAATGTGACAGTGAAGTGCTTTGTACACCCACCATCCACCCTGTGGACCTGCTGCAGACTTTGGTGCAGTTCACAAATAAGTTGATGTTGAACATTCATCTGCTTTTTCCCTTGGACAACTTTAAGTCTGGTTTCACCATGTTATGGTATAGGTTCTGTCTTCTGGTGTGACAGTCTCCTTGCAGATTGTGGTGTTTTATTTGTTCAGACTTGTCTCTATCTGTGAGATTTCTGCCTCCATCCCTATATAATGGAAACTTTATAAATAAGTAACATAAGAGGTGACCGACTGGATGGAGAATGAATAAACCTGAGTGGAGTTAAAGGCTCGGGAGTTGCAGACAGAGCCCAAGAACAGCGGAGATGGAGAAAAAGATCGTCTTGGGTGTAGTTGAGCTTTGGTCAGGCAGGCACTCTGGCAGACAGGTGAGCTGGCAAGGAGTCATCTGAAGCAAAGGAAAGTAAGATTTGACCAACAACTGAACAAATGAGTAAGTATTACTGGGCGAGGAGTCAAAGTATGTTGGGAGACTGTAAGACCTGGTGAAGACCATTTAAAAAGCTAGGTTAATAGACTTTATTTCTGATGAGTAGATGTAGGGCAGGTCTAATATATCAAGTATTTGGGAAGAGAAATGAAGCTCCAAGCCTACAAACAGAAACTGCCCAATATGGGAACGGGCAGAGACACAAAGAAATGAAAATCAACAGAAACACAAGAAACCTGGGGAAGTATTATGCTTCCTTTCAAGTTTTAGTAAGAAAAACAAATCACACTGAACAAACATATAAATGCAGCATATATTATTTTATGAAATTATATTTATTCTTTTGTAACAGAAGCAGAAGTGTTTGATGTTTCAACACGCTATGTCTTCATAACAGAATGGATGTCATGAAACAACCAAGTATGACCATATCAGAAGTGATGAATGGCAGATGGAGAGTGGGTTCATAGATCAGAAATTACAAGTCATTTGGGGGAGCAGGACCATGTAATGTCACATTCATAAACACATCCATCCAGCGCATCATTTGGCAGATTGTCTGGGGTACCAAACAGGCATGATCTGTTAGATCATAAATGATGGAGTTGGACAGCCACATGTCTGGCTATAGCCTAGTTGACATGCCAGTATCCAGCATATCAAGAGCCTCTTCTCGTCTTACTTTTGTCATCTGCAGCATTGTGTCATTTGAATAAAGTTACATTTTTAGGTGGCCTTTTATAATCACTGGTCAAAACAGTGTCTGTCCACTGGTCCTCCTATCTGATCACTGTCGATTAAAGTCATACAGTATACCTCTACTGTCTGTTTACTTTTACTTGGACCATTATTAACATACATACATACATACATACATACATACATACATACATACATACATACATACATACGTACATACGTACATACGTACATAATATTCTTTTTCCGTAGTGTTGGCCTGAACCTTCATACACCAGCACCTGTCTTAGCTGAACAGAAAGGAAAGACTATAGCCTTTGGTTTCTCCCCACATGAAACCTGACCAGGGAAAGCCAACGGGAAGGGTATTCTTAGTCTGATCCCAGAAGGGATAACAAGGTCATTTGAAGTCCCCCCCACCCCCCTCCCCCACCCCACACCCCACCGCACCCACCCCTGAACCCCCACCCACCACCACCACCACCTTTTTAGCAGATAGCAGTATGTCAGTGTCAAGGTGGGGATGACAATATGTTCGTTTTTAGGCTTTGGCTTCCTTCAGGTTCTGTAACTCTCAGTATCTCTGCTGTTATTTTGGAATCTCTCAGCTTTTAACACCCCATCAATTTACAATTTCATTTAGCTGATGCTTTTATCCAAAGAGACGTACATTTGAGAGTAGATCACATTCATAGACCAATGGTGACAGAGCTGAGGTTGCTCATTTTGTGTGACTGATCAAACCACAATAACATACTTTAGCTTGAACTAAACGGACAGCCTGTCCAAGAAACAACAGTCCTGTTGAGGATTCCTGCTATGCCCTGGTGTGACATGTGTATACGTTGTTTGGTCTGTCTGTGTTAGTGTGTTTTTTGCCAGCAGGAGAGCAAATACTTGCAGCACTGCTGACTGAAACATGGCAACAAAAGAGGACATTTGTTACAGACTGTTCACTCGTCTCTCTTACACTGTCATACTGGGACTATTGATTCCATGATATTGTTTTGAAGTGTTCGTGTTTGTGGACTACCTAAGTGTGAAAAGCCATTTGAGTGTTTTCTGCTGCAAACCTATTTCCCCAAGGTGAAAAATAAATGTCTCTCTAAAAAAATGAATATGTTCCCCCAGCTAATTACAAACTTATAAAAAAAACCTTTTTAAAGTTAGAAGCTCAGCTTAGGTCACTTGGGGTCAT